CTCCTATCCCCCTCTCCTCTACCTAACCCCTCCATTCAGTCCCCAAAGAAAAGGCTCCTTTCTTCCCCTCCACCACATTTAGTAAGGCTAATTATCAGCCAAGGGGTCTTTATTTCTTCCTATTACAATGGGAAATTTCTCTTAGCATCTTGTCCAAAACTCAAATTTCCCAAGCAATGGCTCAGGATTCAAGAGTGTGCTACTTTTTTAAAAAGTCATGGCCAAACATTAGAAAGAAACCATTTAAAGTAAGAGGGGCATTTGTGTTTCTTGGTGTCAGTTGTTGGCTCCCTGCTTCCATTACCTGGGATCTGCAGTAAGGCAGAGAATTGTGGGAATGGGAGTGAGAAAACTGATTGCTTCATGGCAATCAGGTAGCAGACAGAATCAAGGGTCAAGGCACAAGATGTCTCTTTCTAGTTTGAAATGCCTCCCAGTGTCATCATATCTGGAATACATCAAGGGGTTAATCCGTTCATTAGGTTGGAACCTTCTGAATGCAACCACTTCCCAAAAACCAAGTTGGCAACCAAGTCTTCCATAATGAGCCTGTGGGGGGCAGATGGGAGTCAAAGAGAAAGATGATTATACAGTCTCAACAATTATGCCGAACAACACAATGAGACAGAACTCAAGACACAAGCCAGGCCTTTCACCCCCTCACTCTGAACTAATATATACTATCTCCCACAAAGTGGGGGGAGTCCTGAACCCCCTCTTTCCCATCACCAAACTCCACCTTCCAGCCCTGCCCTGGCATTCCTGATGCCCATACCAAACCTTTGCTTTCACCTCATTTCTCTTCTGTCTCATTACAGATTCATCTCTTGGCTCCTGTTTGCCTCCCACTGCTGTATGACAAATCCCTTCTAAAATTACTCTGGTGACTCACCAGTGGATATTTTATTCCATTTATGTGTCCCTTCCCCCCAACCCCCAAAGGGCATAAAGATTTCACAGATACTCAGTCTTTTTCTAACCCCGTTATTCTTAAAAAAAAAAAAAAAAAAAAAAAAAAAAAAACTCTGCCTGGGAAAAGGGAATGAAGGTGTAGCTTGGGCCTTGTCTGAACTGCTTGCATATCGAGCTGATATGCAATGCTTCTTCTCCCATGACTCTCCCTCTTCCTGGTGGTAATACTTTTCAATAGGTTCACCAGCAGCAATTCAACCAAAGTCTTACCAATCTGTTGTTGATTCTTAACCACTCACCCCGGTTGAAAACCTCATATCAAGTTCATTCTACATCCAGTAGGTAGCCAGACTACTGCAGCCTTGTGCATATTCCTACATCTCTCCCTGGCTCCAGATCAGACCAATGCACTGATCACCTCTCTGGTCCCTACTGTCCTCCTCTGTTCTCTACCTCCCTCTAAGCCAGTGGTTCTCAGCCTTCCTAATGCTGTGACTCTTTAATACAGCTCCTCATGTATTGTTGCTGTTCTGAATCATAATGTGAATATCTGTGTTTTCCAATGATCTGAGGTGACTCTGTGAAAGGGTCATTCAACCCCTGAAGGGTTGCAATGCATGAGCTGAAAGCCACTACTCCAAGTGCCTATTCTAAACTGGGATCATCATGATGTCCAATGAGCACCTCCAATCCCTATTAAATCTTGCCCTTGCCCTTCTGCTCTGGAATTTTCAAATCTGACCTCGAGCTACTTTTCCTCTCTGAGCTCTCTAACCCTCTCACCCATAAGCAGATTCCCTCAGGTGCCTCCATGATTGCTTTCTTGTGGTTCATCTGGCAAGAATACCCACACTGCCATTTATTCCTGGCAAGTTCCTTTTCAGGCTGAAAGGCACAATTCTTGTCACCTCTTCTGCAGAACTTCTTTTTAAAATTTTTCAAGAGTGTATTGAAATGCACACACCAAACAGCTCTCCTTTGGGTTATTATTATGTAGATCTTACCTGTGTCATTTTCTCAGTACTAAAATCTGAGTTATATCCCAACTTCTTGACTTGGGCACTCTTTCCTCTGTGGTTGTTCAGCCACTCCATTGAATAGATATGTGTGTGTGGTATTCATAAAATTTATTGAAAACCTGTCATGTTCAGATATTATACCAGGTATCAGGGAGACATCAAGTTCATAGCCTCAAATTTCAACTACTAAGACAAATCACATGGAACGATGCTCGGGGTGATATAAGCAATAACAGATAAGCCCAGAAGCCGATCAAGCACTTGGGATGGACCTCATCTGGCCAGATGACTTCAGATGAGAGAAGCCATGAGTTTGGCTGTCTGAAACACCCAACTGGGAATGACTTTGTTGACTGTCACAGGCTTCATGACAGCTAAGTAGATCCTAGTCCCACATACTCCGTAGGAGTTCAACAAACACTCAGGAATTTAACAAACCAAAACAGGCTTGGGTTAGGATTCTCTGCCAGTACTCTGATGTTGGGTGCATTCCCTCTCAGTCTTAACTGCTACTTCCTGTAGGCAGTTAACTACAGTTTTTGTCTGCAGATCTGATCATGGCCTAGCCAGTAAATAATGCAAATCCTAAGATAAACCTGGAAGCATGATTTTCATATATACTGGCCCTGACCATATACAACAGGAGAAACTGGAGAGGAGTTTGTTGACCTGGGAACTTGGCATGGACAGCTGAGCCTGCCAGGTCAAGTTCAAAGGTCACCAAGTCCAGAGTCACCTGCTAACTGGCTTCTAGGCCCTTCTCTTGCTCTTTATACTCTACACCCATCAGCCCAGTAGAGTTCCCCATGGACTTTAAAATGAAGCATATACTCAATGGTCTGGAAGACAGGACCTTCCTGTGTCTCTCCAGCCTCCCCTGCACTTTTGCTTTGCTGTGTAGCCTGCATTTTGTCTCTCGGATGAGTAAATGCTTGCACTTCCTTAGTACATCAAGATCGTTCTCCTCAGCAATCTTTCACACATGCTGCTTGTTTCCCTTGCCTGGAATGTAATAGAACTGAACAACAATGACTTCCCCTTCTAGTCTCAGATTATTTTCAAGGTGAAAGCTTCCTAGACCTTCCCCCATGTGTCAATACCTAAACAGATTTATTGCTGTGCACCCAAGGCTCTGCATTCCCTAGAAGTTCACATATTACCCTGCATACTTTTGTTATCCCCACTGAAAGCTTCTGGTTTCACCTTCACATTGCTGTGCTCACAAAAGGCCTGGGAATACACAGGCTGGAGGGGTAGCTGGAAGAAGAAGCCCTCCTATTCCAGCGTGAAGGGGAAGAGGGGAGAGCTCATGAAAATGAAAGAAGACTGTCCTGCTCACTGCTAAATTTTCAGGTCGAGAATGTGTAAGACCCTCAGTAAGTGGTTACCAAATAAATTAATTTACAAAAAAGTAAGCAGGTTACATAAGAGTATTGTGTTTACCTGACTCACCTGGTTATTATGCCTTCCTGTATAGTAAGGTCTTGGGGGAAGTGACTTTTGAAGAAAAGCAGATTCAGCAGCTCAAGAGGCCAAACATGGAGCCTCACTTCCAATTGTTTAATCTGAATTCAGCCTATCAATGAGCAATGGACCTTAAGAAAGCTAATGAACCTTTTTGTGTATGTCTGTTGTTTTCTCTTTAATTGAGATTTGTCATGTGACTAGGTGAGGCATTACTAGCTAAGCAAGAAAGTATCCTTCACGGCTTAATAAAAGCAAAGTATTGGTTAAACAAAATTAATTAAAACTGAGAAATCAAATACTATCCTCCTTCATTCATCTTATTGCCATTATGATCCCATAGGGCCTGGGAGTCATTTGGGAAGCACAAAAATATAATTAAACTAGAAAAATCAAGGGTTGTGAGGTGGCACAGTGGTGTAGAGTGTGGTCGAGAACTTGCTATTCTTCCAACGGACCCAGATTCAATTACCAACACTCACATCATGTATCTCACCACTGCATATAACTTTACTTCTGGGGGATCTGATGCTCTCTGGTCTCCCTGGGCATCTGCATACATGTGGTTTACATAACTCACAAAGGCCACACATACACACACACTTATAAATTAAAGATAAATTAATAAGATTTTTAAAGGTCAAGATATCACTCTATTTTCTGTGGCTGTTAGTTTTCTATCTCCTAAGAAAGCTGTTCCTCTTACTAAGGTCTTGTTTTGTCTAACACATCTTTGAAAACCACTGTGGACAAATGGCAATGGGAAAGAATATGTGCCCAGATCTTGCACTGGGAGGTGATTTTAGTAGTTTTTACTCTGGTTCTCTGTATAGACAGGGGTAAACTGACCCAACAAGATACCACTAAAGAATGTCCAAAGGTTCTTAATATTGCTCAGTATCTCCTCAGGAATTCTTCTGCAACTCAACTACCAGGATAAAGTCGGTTCTTACTCTTCAAACAGCTTAACAAACACAGTGTAAACCATCAACCATTTAATAAAGACCCAAGAAAGCCTAAGTTTGTGTAATTGAATGACCAGACAAATATTTAAATAAAAAATGTACTGCAAATTGTGATCCCACTGAGAGAGATTCCCATGTGACAATGCTTGGTAGCATTGAGAGCCCATAGGCAGTAACACAGAGTTTTGACCATGGTAACTGGAATGCTGACAAGAACAGAACCCATTGTAAGGTAGTGACCAACCTACCAAGAGGTAAGGGAATTTGCTCAAGTTAAGCTGTAGTGGAACCACCTTCTGAGCTGCCATCCCTTAGAATGGTAATGTGAGGACAGCTGGTTGATTTCTCACTGCTTTTATAAATAATACTCTACTATGAAACTGAAATAGATTGTGAATTGTCACTGGCATTTATACTTTGCAAATCACTTTTGGAGAACTATTACAAGCTGACCCTAAGAGTGATGAAGCCAGCTTTCATCTCCAGTAAACACTGGCCCAAATGTCTCCTGTTGCGGAGACCAGAAGCATGAGAGAAACAGAGACAGACAGAGAGAGGTCAATGAAACAGAAGTAAATGATATATTACCTTCCCCTTTATAAATATTATTATTATTTAATAAATCAAATATAGAACCATCCTCAATAATAAATATTTATTACTTATAACACTTAAAATGAATGTCATAAAAAATAAGAACAACTTTATTCATGTAACATTTTCATAAAAGGTAGATATAGCACAATTAGTCCATGAGCCTGCAAACCAAGAGGAGCTTCTTGGCTGTTGAGGAGACACTGTCCTGGAAACCACTACCCAGACAAGGTCATGGCTGTACTGCTAGACCTCGGGCCTCTTGTGGGACTAGTTTCAATCATGTTCTTTCTGGGACGGGACTTTCTGTCCACAGTTTTGATCGCTGTTTTCACCCATTTGGCATGTGGATCCGCACAGATTTTTAATCCTCGTTTGGTGACAAAACTATGATGCAAGGAAAAGATTATGTTAGCCATATTGTCCAATGAAAGATAATTTGTACAAAAATTAGCAGAGGAAACTATCTTTCAGAACTCTGAAACCATCCATAAGCCCCTTCCTTTTGTCATCTAGTTTAGTAAGGGAGAGAAATCTCCAGGTGGCAGCCCAGCTCTTGGTGATTGTAATTCACCAGTATACCAAGTACTGGAGCTACATTGGACTCTTAAGACCATCTAGTTAACTGTTCCATAGCTCCTTCCTTTCCCAACCTTGGAACTACTCATCTCTTTGGGGAAATAGAGATGGTTTTTGTAAATTTCTGAGAGCGAAATTCCCTGCTCCTTCTGAACAGGGAATTTTAGAAGACAATGTAGGAGAGTTCTGGATGTGTATGTAGGACCCTGAAAGACAGTGTAGGGAAGTTCTAAATGTGTCCCTTGATGTATAGCCACATATAAGGTGTGCTACTCTTCATAGCAAGTATCCTGCATTAGTATGGCTGTTTATGTAAGACTTAGCCTGCTCTGGCCATCAAATCTGGACACTGTCCATCTATTTTTCTAGTTAGACTCATATGTTGAGCAAAAGAAGAAAAAGGGAGTGTATATTCTTTCTTTCTTTTTCAATAATCAACCTTGGAAAGGACAGTAAGAAAACAAGATTAATAGAGACGGAATGGGCAATTGGCTAAGTGAGCTTACATCCATGGTCCCCTACTTTTCCCGAGGAGAGCAACATTTCTTCCTACTATATTTCTAGATAGAAACCACATCTGTGAACAGATACTCACATTACTGCTTTCATTATGCCCTCCTTGATGGTATAAGTCTTGATTCTTTGAACTGGCAATGGCAGGGTTGTAAAGCTCACACAGAAACTCTCTCCTAGAACTTCTGTCCCCACACCTAGAAAAAGAATAAGAAAACATAAATGAAACTATAGCTCAACAAGTATCAAGTTTGGAGTCCCTTATTAAATTACTCTGTCAATGATAATTCACATCGACACCCTGAATCTCTGGTACATTATATATTGCGGGAAATGTTTGGCTGATCTTAAAAGATCAGTAGTATTGTTTGAGAAACCTCATGGTAAAAAGTAACATGGTGGCCAGGTATGGTGATGCACTCCATTAGTCCCAGCCTTGGCGGCCAGAAGCAGGTGGACTTTCTGTCTCATCTACAGAGTAAGTTTTGGGCCAGCTAGAACTTCATTGCAGGAGATATTGTCTTAAAAATAAACACATAGTAACTTGCCCAAGTGGGGATTAAATATTAAATTCTTATGTTCATAACACTACCATCCATTGCACACGGAAATTATCCTTTTTTTTTTTTTTTTTTTTTTTTTTTTTTTTTGGATTGAAGAGTTGGTAAAATCTAAATAGGCAAAATTTCTAAGTGCAAATTTCCTGGGTGCTTCCCACTTCCCATCTCAGCAAAATGCGAGCCATTTAGGAGCATGAGACCTAAATGAATATTCTTGAAGTTTTTTCCTTCATCAATATTTCTTCTTTTGCCCAATGTCAAGAATTTCTAGATTGTGTTCCCTTTATTCCCTCTACACCTTTGTAGAATCTATGATGAAGTTATAGTATTATAGTCTAAGTGTACAAAGCAGAATACAAATAGGTCTATAAATTAACTCCAGCCAGTCGGAAAAGGAGACCCTTTAGGAAGCATCGACTGAATGTTCAGCTACAGCTCAATGAATCTAATTCTCACCTGGGTATATCTTCCAGGCTCAGTAGCCAATGGAGTGTGCATTATCCGTTACACTCAATATCAAAGGCTGTCTTACAAAGTCAAGAAGTCTATCATAAATGATAATATTACATAAGCAATATTGGCAGACTGCTATTTAGTTGAATATAATATTGATTTTCTTGATATGAAGATATGAGCTTCTGGTCATTTTTTGTTTGTTTGTTTGATGTTTTCAAGTAGAAAAAAAACATAGATTTGCTTTCAGACATATGTCTTCGAGCTCATTCTCCAGTGTGATGAAACTTTAGGAGTTTCAGAATTTATTGAATCAATATAAAGTAAACAAAAGCAAGCAACTCAGCTGTAATTATTGCCAGCATTAATGAAGTATCATTATAAGGAGATCTGATATGCTTTAATAGTCATTAGTAAGAAATGAGACTTACTCCATTTTAATTCCAGCTCACAGCATTCAATGTATAGAAAGAATATAACATTCAATTTTAAATAAATAAGCGTGAGACCAGAATAGCCGAGACTTGGAATTAGCATTCTGTTCTTGCATATGGGAAATTTGAGCCTTACCTAGACAAAGCAGTTTATTCTAATCAAAACCCAAACCAAACCTCGTATATGAGCCCACCTGTTCCTTATCCCTTCAATAGCTGCTCATCTTACCTTCCACAGTCCATATGGTGAGGCAGCAGGCTCCCAGGAAAGTCAGGAGGAGAAGTCTCATGGCTGAAGTCTGGCTGATGTGCAAGGCGAATGTAGACTCGACTCCTCAGGAGCCCCTTTTATTCCCCCCATTGGTCAGCACACTTCCTGTGGTGAGAGGGGGCTTTCAGGGTGGGTGTGGGATCATGGAAAGTCTTTGCAACGCTGATGCTTTTTTTTTTTTTTTTTTTTTTCTTTAAACACAAGTTCCTTTCCCATGTTCATACCAACATGATACCTTGTGGCCTTTCCTCCCAACGCCATGTGGTTAATGTGACAATGAAACCAAATGTGTGCCTGAGATGAAATGCTGTTGTCTCCTTCAGAGCTGTGGTTCTAAAGTCAGATCTTCCGTCTCAAAGGCTAGTCGGTGACAAGGCTCAGTGTGCTAACAGGGAAAAGGAAATGAGGTGGCGTGGTCACTGCGGTCCAACCCACCTGTCTCCTGTGACAGAAGGCTTCTACAACCACAGATCAGCTGCCCCTGGTGGCCCTGCCTGACTCCGCAGGAAAGCAAAAGAACATTGCAGATGCCCCGGGTTCTACTGCCCTTTCTCTTCATTCTTCTTCTATGCCCTTACTCAGTTTACCCTTATTTCTTCAAACTACTGGAGGAGGAACATTTAAATAAGTGGTTACAGCATATCGCTATGCATGTTCGCTGTTTGGGGGAAACACACAAGCAAATATACTTAAGCTTATTGAAAATTTGTTCTACGATCTTATTTTAAAGAAACATGAGAGAATACTAGCACCTTTCAAGAGGTCTGGAGGGATGGAGCTGTGGTTAAGAGTGCTTGCTGCTCTTTTAGAAGATGGGAGTTTCATTCCCAGCACCTGTAACTCCAGCTCCAGGGAATCTGATACCCTCTGCTGACCTCCATAAGTACCTGACACACATATATATAAACAAATAAAATAAAAATTCCAATAGCTTTCTTTTTATCAGTATTCATATGTTTATACAATTGTAGCAGGCTTGGGGGGGGCACCAACCAGCTCCCATCCGCAACATGAAGACTTCATATTAGTTATGAATGCTTGTCCTTATCTTTTGCTTGTCCCAGTAGTTCTTATAACTCCCTGTTCCTCTTCATCTATGTTTTGCCTAGGGGCTTTTTACATTTCTTTTCTCCTGTATATCTTACTTTCACTCCTTCTCCTGTCCGGTGGCTGCCTGACTTTGGGCCTGGGTGTGTCCTCTCTTTCTCTCTCTTTCTCTCTCTCTGTCTGTCTCCCTCTCTCTCCCTTCCTTCCTCTCTCCATTCCCCCCCTCTCCTGCCTAGATTTCTCCCATCAGCCACACCTGTCCTTTCTCTGCCTAAATATTGGCTGTTCAGCTCTTTATGAGACCAATCAGGTGCCTTAGGCAGTCAAGGTAAAATAAATGCAAAACTCTTTAGCTAATTAAGCAGATCAGCACAAACAAAGTAGCACATCTTTACATTGTTAATAAAGGCACCAAAGCCATCTTCACATAGTTAATGTTCCACAGCATAAACAAAAGTAACACATCTTTGCCTAGTTAAAATAATATTCCTTAACACACAACTATGATCAGCTGCCCCTGGTGGCCCTGCCACCACATATTGTTTTAATGTGAATTTAAATAGCTTCTCATGTTTCTTCTGTCTTCACTTTTCTGCTTTGAAAAAGTGCACACACACACACACACACACACACACACACAATACTCTCATTGCTGCATAGATCCTATCTATAAGGTTATTTTTGCAGTAATATAATCTTGTCTGATCCCTTTAATAATTTGGAAGATGAATCCTGGGTGAAATCATAAATTATATCACCATTTTTATACTTACTGCTATTTCTGCATAATCTTTTCAAAGTATAGTTTTCATGTGCAATGTCCCCAGCAGAATATGATACCAAACTTTCTGGTACTCCATTTTGGTTTTGTTTCTTTGAAGCTATCAATAAAAATACATTTATAGGATATGTACACTGAAAGGTTTTGCTACTAATATTAGGAATATGAAAATGAATTTATATTTGCATGATCATCATAAATTAATCTCTAAGAAATGTTTCAATAATGGCATTCAATCTTCTAGGGAGACTTCACTCTGAACTCTCAGAATGCATTTTAAACTATTTCCACAACTCTACCATTCGTCTTTGAGCTCTGAACACATTTGTCTTTTGACTGCCTCTTCTCCTTGACCTTGACTAATTAGTGATTTGTCCCAATTCCCAAACACAGACATGTGGGGATCATCTTAGGCTCACTTAAGACAGTCTCACTTATTGCTAATAGGTTACTATAGCCATTATGGAGAACAGTGTGTGGGGAGCTTAGAAAACAAAACTACTGTGTGATCCTGCAATCCCACTACTCTCAGGAGAAAGAAAACAGTATGTGACAAGGGCATTTGCACTTCAACATTCACTGTGACATAATTAGCAATAACCAAGACGTGGAATCAACCTCAGTGTTGATCAGTGCATGAATGAATCTAGAAAATGTGATAAATGAATCTATAGTGTATTATGTTAAATGACATAAGCCAGGGCCAGAAAAACAAATGCTCTGAGGCCTCACTCAAATGTTGGATATAAAAAAAAAATTGATCTTTTGGAAACATAATAGAATGATGGCCAACAAGGACTGAAAAGAACTGGAGTGACACTAGTCATGGGACACCCAATATCACTCGACAGGAGAAATAATTTCAGGCAATCTGTTGCATAATGTGCCGAGTAGAGTAACAATATATTATATTCTTGAATAATCCTGAGAGTGAATGTAAAGTATTCCTCACTTAAGAATAACTGTGAGGTAATACATATCTTAACTAATTTTAAAAATTACATATACTTCAATACCATGTTGCATATGACAAATACATACAACTGTGTCTTTCAATTTAAAATATAAATTAAAAAGTAATAAAAATGGAAACTAAGTGTGAAGATTGCCCTGTGGTTTTACACATTTTTGATATAAATAGACAATGTGACTGATGGCTAAACTCTTTCTTGACATATTAAAATGGAATTTCTTAAACTCTCAATATGATTCTTCACTGTGCATTTACCAAATCAAGCAGCAGAGTTTCTGGCACAGAACAACTAAGTGACAAGTAAGACAGTAGACACCCAGTGCAGAGGGAGCATCAAATGGGACACACATCTTGTCATAAAGTTATGAAAATGGAAGTCATGGTAACAGTGTGACCCCCATATTTTCCCATGCAAGTGGCAAAAATTAATATATATGATAATAGTACTATGGTGCCAGAGATATGGAGCAGTATATTACTTAGGATATTAGAAACTGAAAAATGTTTTCATAACCCACTGGGAAAAGAGAAACTGATATTCTAGTCCAAGAGAAATTCATCATTGTCATAAAAAGCCAAATATTCATGTGTTACAAGATTAGAAATTTTGCCTCTGGTTCCAACAAACACTAAACTATTTTTAGTGTTCAAGTGCTCTGATTGAAAATATATACATCAGTGGCACATTGTGTAATGTAATTAATTCAATAATAAATAAATGTAGGCCAATAATGATCATGTATATAGAATTATGTAATTCAGATTAGACTACACAAAAATCAATGCAAGTATTCTTAATCAGTTGTCTGCTATTCTTTCAAAAGTATCATAGGAAGCTGGGCTGCTTTTCCTGTTAAGTAATAGCATCTTTTGCTGCCTGAAAGGACAAGACAGCAGAGAAAAGACACACATATCTTAACCACCAGGAATATGTATTCTTTGGTTACATTTCACTAATGAGAAGCACCTACATGGTACAATGGGCAATATTGGTATAGCTGGGAAATGGCATTCAAGATTGTGCCCACAACAAAGAGTAAATAAAGTCTGCCATTTCCTGCCACACTACATGTTATAATTAATCCAATTGTGTACTTAAATTTAGTTTTTTAAAAACAAAAATGAAAGAATGATGACTGAGGTCATTATTTTCTTTGAAACATACCCCTGTATGATAGCCTTTAAATCATAGCTACTTTAACTCCTAAAGAGTTTGGTTATATCTTTTCTGATAAATACGGTATGAGTGCTATGAAGAAAGGTTAGACACTGTAGAAATTGGTGTGTGTGTGAGAGAGAGAGGCAGAGGCAGAGGGGGAGAGGGTGATGGGAAGGAAGAGAGTGTCATATGTATAGATGCCTGCAGAGGCCAGAAATGGGCATCAGATTACTTGGACCTGGAATTATAGACAGTGTGAACTACCTAACCTGAGTGTTTACGATTAAACACTCTGAAAAAGTAGTAAGTGCTCTTAACCACTGAGAAATCTCTCCAAACTCTAGAAAAGTTTTCTGATTTTTGTTTTGTTTTGTTTTTAAGTAATACTGATCCAAATCTCACTACCCAGAGGTAACCACTAAATCACTGTGGATGGACCTTTCTCCAAACTTATCTGAGATAAATATATGCTTGTGTTCTTATCATCCTACACTCTCTCTACAGTGTTCTGTGGCTCTAGATTTATAATATATGCACAGTGGGTGGTGGGGGAGGGGTGTTTGTGCTAACACTAAAGGGCAATAGCCTGTTTCTTTCTTCAAGCAATATGATACATTAAGTTGAATTCTTATCTATATTTTATAGATGAGAAACAGTAGCTTGTAGAAGTTAAGAGACTGAGTCACCCACAAACTCTCCCAAAGCTCAGGAAGGTAAAGTAAAAATTCAAACCCAGATCTGCCAAACTCCAATGCCAAGCTACTAAATCATACTGTGCTCTCAGAAAACCTCTAACATAGTGCATTCCCTCGATGGGTCTTCCCATTGTTCCTTTTTTTAACCCACAATAACGTAACAATGAGAATATACATTTTTTTTAACTTTCTGTGCTTATCTGAAAGATCTCTTTAGTTTTCCTCCAAGAAGTTTGCTCAAGGCTTCCTTTAATCTGAGATAGGCAGCTTTCTTTAAGTGCAATGTAAAGGTTAAATGTGTAAAAATAGCATTGTCTGAAAGATAGTTGTTAATGATGTAGGCTTATCCACTGATCCTACAGAGATGTGATATGAAGGCCCTCCACTCAGGGCTCAGAGAAGCCCATAAAAGTGAAGGCAGAAAG